GTGTGTGTGTGTGTGTGTGTGTGTGTGTGTGTGTGTGTGTGTGTGTGGGGCGGCTGCACGTGCGAGGCGCTGCTGGCTGGCGGTGGGGCGGTGCAGGGGTTATGGCGATAAATTGCGCTGTCCTGTCACTTCTATTTGGGCGGATTGGGGCTGGTGTGCAGGGCGCCGCTGGAGGTAATTTGCTGCTGTATTTCAGATGGGCTGGAAATGGGTTTAGAGCGAGAGTTCATGCCTCCCATTACGGAGAAGAGAGAGGGTTACCCCGAACGAACGCTGCGCGCAACACAACTGACACGGGCGCTTGACACGTGGGAAAGCTGCTGCACTGCTGCAAACAGGAGAGAACCCAGCAGACATCAGACGCCCGCCATAATTCAGCCGCGCAGACGCGCCGTTTCACAGATACAAGATGGGTGGCTGCCCTACACAGGCCAACGGCAGCCAGGGGAGCTGTAACGGGGCTAATGTGGCTCTCACTGCCACCCAGGGAGGCTTAAACACGGACCGGGTGGCCCGCAGAGCCAAAATGGAGGTTAATGGGGATATGACATGGGCAGTTAACACAGACTGCAGTTAACCCTGACACGAGCTGCAGTCAGCGGGGGGTGAGCGTGGACGGCAGGGCCCCGCTGGCCCTTCATCATTTCTCCCAAAACTCACACAGACAGAAATCTGCACCGCTTCTAAACGATGCCCATTGTCCCACCAACTCACATTAATGACTCTACATGCTGTTCCAACAGAATAAAAGCTGCTTTTCCAGCTCCTTGGCCAGCTATCCTCTAATGTGTTTAATGAGTTCCACCCATGATTCCCTGTGAGTTTCATGGCGATGCACAGCTCGGTGGAGGCATGCCAGCAGCAGAAAACAGACTTGGATCGGCAGCTCACATGTAAAATGCTGGTTACGTTTCTCTGACAGCCGGAAATAAACACAGCATCATGGTTAACCAGGGAGTATGCCACGAATGCCAGTTATTCATATTCAGTTACTTTAAAGATCATTGGTGAAAAGTGGTTCATGTGAAATGATTTTCAGAAAGAAAGCTGCCGCATCTGATCTAAATCAGTTCCGACATGGTGAATAAGACCGGTCCACATCAAACCAACACAGGCTTCAATGTTTAAGTACCATGAGAGGGAAATGTTGAGCTAAGTCACATACTGTATCTAAATGTATGATGTGATGTTTAAAGTGGAGCTTCTTCTTAAAGGCCACTTCTTTTCATTGTGTTTCAAATAATTTCACAAAGAATATCCAAACAAAAAAAATAACATTCATTTTGTGTCCACAAAGAAAAATAAAAGTTAAGAAATATAAAAATGACCAATAAATACTGCTTAAAATGATAAACCGATGCTTTATAGATCAAAACAAATTGGACTAAAGCCAAAATAGAGCTGAAGGTATTCCTTTCAGTTATTTAAGAGGCATTTAAACCATCCCAAAGTACCCCAGTAGGTCATAAATTGAACGAAACAATGAACCAACCAGTGGACATTATCTGTGCAAAGATTGGTGCTACAGGAGTGAATCAGAGCAAACTTGCAGAAGTTTCTGTACAGTTTGAGCTCTGTATTATCAAGAAGCCATTCTTAAGGAAGGGAGACGGGGAGAAAAGGCTGAGCTCTGCCCAGTGACACAAGAAGTGGTCTGAAAATCAGTGGCAACAGGTCTGATGGAGGGATGAATCCTCCCCAGAGCCGGAGCTCCACATTATTGAAGCAGTGTGGATCATCTGACAGAGAACGGAACAAAAGGCAGCCCACATCCAAAGAAAAGCTTTGGGATGTCCTTCAAGAAGCCTGGAGAACTATTCCTGAAGACTCCTTAAAGAAAGGACACAGAGCTGGGTGGAGAGGGTTCAGGCTGTGCTGGAGAATATAAAATAGACCCCAGAAAGAAATTAAGTGCTGTTTTAGGACTTTTCAGCCATTTAAAAACTCTATTTTTGGACATATGGAGCTCAGTTGAGTTTTCTTTAAAAATAAGAAAACAGGTCTCTAGTCATGGAGAACCCTCTCCCAGAATGTCCTGCTCTTCCCCAGTTTTAGCCACTTGGAGCTCAGCAGGTGATTTACAGCCTGGTGGCAGTTTGAAAGGGAGGGGGGTATCTGCTGCAGTATTTTAGGCCCCGTCACCAGAAAATAGATATAATCTCAACATTAACTCCATTAATAGTATCAGGAGTTGAATTAAGAAAGCCGTAAAGCATGCACTCTGGAGGATAAATTACAGCCCAGGCCTCTCTCCATCTCTCTCACACCCTCCCCATTCAAAGCCCAGAGCCGCTCTTTAATTTCCTCCAGCCCCCTATTTGCTCTGCTGCTCCTTTCCCTTCTTCTGTCTGATAAAATTCCCTGTCGCCCTCTTCCTCTTCCCTCCATTGCTCTCTGCTTTGTTTATGGCATAAACGTTGAGCCCCAACTTGGCGACACGGTCCAATCCCAAATAACTCTACTATCCCACAGTGTGTATATGCTGCATATCTCTGCATACACACACACACACACACACACACTTGGTCTGGGCGCTCATCTTCTTTAGTGCTTCAGTATTGATCAGCTCAGGATGTAAGAGACGAGGCAATAAAGTGAAGCAGCGCTCCTTCTTCTTCACTTCTCTCCTCCTTTTCCCGCATTCACCCCCCCCACCGTTGCCCCCCTCTTCATTCATCTGCTCGTTACTTATCACATTAGTCGTGTGTTAAAAGTTGAGTTTGGCAGCCCGGTGATGGCGGCCCGCCTCAGAACCCGCCAGGTGACCGTTTCTGCTGCGCTCTGTTTCAAGGGTAACTGTTTCCCGATATGAGCCGACTAATGCTTTGGTTGCACACAAATGGACGAGGGCAGCATTATTCTGCGACCATCCAAATTCTTCCCTGTCACTAAAACAAAAGTCGGATCGTTCATCAACCCTCCGGTAGTGCTGAATCGCGCTCTCCTTTAACTGTGCGTCGCATGGTCAGAGGAGCACACACACTCAAAGCCGTCTCAGGGGAGCTCCTTCGCGCCCTTGTTCCATCCTCTTTCCCCCATATTTTCCCCCTGATTATTTATGATGAGTTCAAGTTTTTTCCCCTCTGACCTCCAAACACCTTGTGTTTTGGGAAGATAAATTAAAAACTATCCTGGCCACAAACACCACATCAGCTGAATGTTTTGTTTTCACTTCAAAGTCTTCCATGAAGCCACAATTTGACCGTTTTAAGTTTTAGCACATCTAGCTAGTTTTCGGAGGCTCTTCTTTTCTCATAAAATGAGGTCATCACATCTGTAATTACAGCTGGTTTCACTTTATCATCTGCACCATTATCACATCTTATTAAGATCCTGGTTTTCAGGTTTTGGCAAAAACTATAAGAAATGTGGCGGATCATCTGTTAGAAAAACAGGTAAACATCTTCATCATTACTAAAAATAACAGTTTGTCAAATAACAAAGTGAACCAGATAAGTGCTCCTTTTTTCTTACATAATAACCATTATATTTCATATCTTTGGTCTTGATAACTGCTTCTATTATTCCTCTGATTTTGCTTTTCTCCTTTGTGACAGATTTTCTTCTAATTAAGTCCCACAGAGTTTCTGGCTGTTCACACAGACTTTCTTTGGATGAAACTTTTGTGTGATCAGTCTTTGAATCTCCTGAATCCCACATGGACTTTGTCCTGGCTCCTCCATCTCTTCCAGTTCTCCAGGTGTTTGTGGATGTTTGCAGGTCTCAATAATGGCTTCTTAGCAGCTCTTCTTCCCTTTAAGCCTTCTTCCATCAGAGGTCTGCTTCTGCTCATTCTGGAGTCTTTCTGATCTAGAAGTATTCATCTCTGCCTGAAGATCAGCAGCGGTTTTCCTTCTGTCACATAAAATTCATGTTCCAAACTCAGAAAACATGTGCGTACCTTCACTCTTGAGGGTAGATGATTGTTTCAGTATGTTTTAACGAGCAGGGAATGATGAGAAGGCACAGAGAAAGGAGGGCGGGGGCCAGGGGGCGTGATAGGCCGAAGATGAAGAGCAGCGCTCGGTAGTTAAAAGCACACAACCTGAGCTTCTGCTCCACCGATCGCCTCAAACTGATCAAAGTGCTGCTGGTTCTTGGAGTTTAGCAAACAGATAAGCAGACAGATGAGAGGGGTCTGTGAGTGGTGGGGTGGGGGGCCTGTCCCAGGGGACCTGACCTGTCCCCCTCCCTCCCTATCTCTGTCCTCACTTGTACACACATGGTGATATTTCACAGGATGTCAAGGGGCTCAAATTGAAAATCCCTTGATGAATCAATATTTACTGCAGCAGCTAAATGAATAGTAATAAGTCACCAGAGGCTGAGCCCAGCCCAACCAGGCCCCCTCTGTCTCACCAAATCTGGATTACACAAATGAACCCCACCCCTCAGAAAAAATGCTAAAAAAGCACCAAAACACAAAACACTTCAAACTACATAAAGCTCAGCTAAAGACATTTGGTAAAATTGGTAGCTGGAGAAGTGTTTGGGCTCAGTCCTCCTCTGAGACGGTTTCTGGAGGATTGAGCAAAACTACAAGGCCAGATTCATCCCAACAAACTCTGAAATATGAAAACTAATGTCTCATTAAATCACAGGACTCACACTGGATCCACGAATCACTGGCGATGAACTTTCAGATTTTTCCAAAAACAGCCTGTAAAAACTCAGTTTCACATATTTTATGGATTTTATTACAGCATTTCAGGATATTTGGGTTCCAGGGATGTTTTAAACGGAATTGAACGGTGTTGGATTCTGTACTAATGACAAAAAAACAAGGACAAGACCAATGATGGCATTAAAAGGGGAGGCCCACCCACTCGCCCCTCTTTGGAACAGAGCTGGGTTTGATGCTCTCCCCGCTGGGGTAAATTAATGGGAGGAGCACGCTGGTGTAAATGGTTTATTCTCTGGGTTATCTACTGTGTAAAAATGAGCACCATAAATTCCCAGCCTCTTCCACTCATGCTACACATGACGGCGACATAAACGACAGGCCGCTGCTCCTCATTGAATGATGTTAACCACCAAGTGTGAGCGTGTGTGAGCATGTGTGTTGTGTGTGTGTGTCACCTGGCAGACTGGATTCTCTTTGCCCGCCAGGACAGGGCCGGGTTATACGGGAGGGGGTGCCCGGTGCCGGGACTCAGGCGGGCCACCATTTTGTAGCGAGTTCTGAAAACCCGTCGGGAGGCGGGGCTACGCTGGGGGGTAGAGGCGGAGCCTGTGAAAGGAAAGAGAGGAGCAGATGAGTGACAAAAAATTCTGCAAAAAATGGCCACACAAAAGCACCCGGCGTGTGAACAAACGCACACACAGACACACTCGTTTGAGGCCTCTGGCAGGTGTGCTCTTTAATAAGCTTCACATATAAAAATGAGAGGGAATAACAGAGGCAGAATTTTTATGAGTCTAATAAATCATGTGCTCTGTCTCCTTCTGCGCTGCCTTCATCCCTCCTGCCCGGCCTGCCTCCTTCCTTCTCACTTTAAGTCTCATTCGTTATATCATTTTACAAATCCATCAGAGAAGAGGCGTGAGGAAGGGGGGGGGGGTCGCAATAGAAAAAAGGGGGACTAAGTGTTTTTATTTATTTATTTGTCTGAGTATCCATCATGTTGTTTTATGATGGCCCGGGCGCAGAATCTGCATCAAAGATCGCTGTAGCTTCTGCTCTCATCAGATAAAACACCTCATTGGCCAACACGTTTTCTGGAGCCTGAGATTTAAAGTTATAGCAGAAAGCAGGGAAAGTTTGGTTTCTGACCATCTGTCTCCCTTTTAAACATATCAGTAAATTCAAACTTTTTTTACAGGGTGATAAAGGTCAGAGGACACTGCTTTGTATCAGAAACTTAACAGAAACTGACATATCTGGACACCCCCAGCAGGTAATGAGGGGGCCATTCCTTTAGGCTGTGTGCGGAACACGGCTGTCATCTTTAAAGCCGCCATATTGGATCAAGGTGAGTTTTTCCCAATGGGAAGGTGGTCATGTAGCATACCAAGAAGAAGAGCATAATGCTTAACAGACAACATTGTTGTTGATTAATGATGCTCGGGACTCAAAATAGCATAAAATAGCACATAGAAAAAAACATGCATAGGAGTTTGCTCAGGATATCAGCAGAACCTTTACCACTATGGATAGAAAAAGGATTTAACATCTGTAACTCAGTTTGCCACCTGCTGGCTTTTGAAAAGGTAAAACCCTCCTCTGCTCAGATGTGACGCCACATGAATCAGCTACTCAGGACATTCTTGTGAATTATTCCACTCCCCAAAAAGCTGTCATCTCCAGCTCTCTGTTCCTGCCTCCTGCAGCATTCTCTGCAGTGGTCAGTGACAGCACTCCGTCTTCCTAATGAGCACAGAAACGTCAGGGTGGAAGAGAGAGAGGACGATAACAAATGAGCTTATGGATGGCTCAGGGGCTCATTTCCAGCCTATTCTCAGGATTGCTGCCATTTTAATTAGCATCCAACAGCCAAACTCGACCATAACACGATGATTCGGTTTCCACTTCCACACCTTCCACCTCCCCCCAGATGTGGTTTCATTTGTCAGCTTCGGATCAACTGGAAAATTAATCTCAGGTGACAAACCACCGAGAGCTGGGGAGCTGCCGAACTCGGCCCACAAACGTGCGCCCGAGGTCCCAAAATGTGTGAAATTGTTACTAAACCGAACCCTGTTGATGCTGTCAGGCCCCTCCATCCAACTAACCCTTTACCGCCCTTTTTTGTTTCACATTTAATTCATAGATTTCTGAGACATATTGCAGCATCATGCAGTCAAAGATTTGTTGTGAAAAAACTGCTAAATAGAAGTGTGTTTGCGACTAGGTTTTAATTAAGTATCTTGAAATGGTTGATGATAGCTTAGACATGACGAATGATAAGACAGCTGGTACGTCAAAGAGTAATTTACTAAAAACCTTTTAAAAATGTACTCAATTTTGCATAGTTGGTGTCTTCTATGTTGAATGGAATATTCAGTTTTAGCGTCTATTGCTGCATTTGGACTTCAGGCACATATACAGACCAGAGGCTGAACAGAGGAATAGTAATACCCTGAACCTCCCTGATAGGGCTTGCAGAGATGAATATTTAGCTTTCCGTCTCAGTTTTAAAATCAAATATTTTAACTTCGACTCAGTTTGGGAACTCAGTGATGAATGAAGACGCAGAAGTCGGACTGTGACATGAAAGCAATCAGAGGAACCAAACACAAAGCCGATTGTTTCCCAGTGGTTGCGCTTCGGGCTCTGAGAGCTGCAGATCCAAAAGCATCTTAGAAGACCTCAAAGATTGGCCCAAAGGGTTTAGAGGAAGGCAGATATCCTGGACTGCTGCACTGTCTCACTTGTGTTAGCGATGCCAGCCTCCTTTTCAGAACAACTTAGCCTTGAATTGCACATTCTTGTCTTCCAGAAATTAAAGAGCACATTATCGGGGCTACAATATGTAGTTATTACCTTAGTATTATAAATTTGGGTCATGTGTTAGCTTAAAGAAGAAAAAAGAGATGAGATGGTGGGGAGGACGGTGGGGGTGGGGGTTTGTACACGATTAGTTGCCTGGCTTGTAGTAACTTTTTCTCCCACAATCCATCCGTACTGCAGTCACAGCTCTTTGGGCGTCCTGGCAGATGACAAATAGGGCTTGTCAAAGGTGCTGCCATGATTCCCGCCCAGCAACCTTGTACAACCCCCCCGCCCCCCCTCTCATCCACATCCCTAAACTGCACCTCAATCTGCTCCTGAAACCTGGTTGCACACACGGTGGGGCCTGTCGTGCCCCGGACGCCGTCACACAGCTGTTGCCCCCTGGCCGCAGTTAAATGACACCAACAGTGAGCTGTGGTGTTTGTCTTTCTGTGTGTGTGTGCGTGTGTGTGTGTGTGTGTGTAAGAGAGAGCAGGGATGGATGGACGGCAGCCCGCTGATTGTAAACCTCTGCAGGTTGTGTTGGTTGAGTGGCTCTGGGAGCAATGGGGTCTCAATCTTCCTCTACAGGACCATGACCAATGAGCATGTGAACACGTATGCGCGCACACACAAACACACTAACTCACACAAACACCTGGAGTCTCAATCTTCTCTTAATAGACCTTTGACAGTGGCCTGCCTGGCGAGTGGCGCCCTGCACTGTGAAGACACCATTTGCAGACGCATGCAGCCGGCGTGCCGTCCATCCATCTCCCCCTGACTCCCCGCTCTGAATCCACAGATAATCTACTCCCGCCGCCTCCCGATGCACTCATCGCTCCTCCTGCGAGGAGGCTGCCGCCCCGTCTCAGAGCCCCATTAAAGGGCTGGTTCAACACGTTTCCCTACTTATTTCACACAGAAAAACGCACGGATTTGACTGTGACGGCGTCTGCTGAGCAGGGATGAACCCTGCTGTTTGCCCGAATGATTCGGGATCTGCTCGGCTCTGCTCATATAAAGCCCATTTGTCCTACTTCACATACTGTGAAAGGACCGGAAAAGGTTCTCCAGGTTGCTGGTTCCTGGAACTGATGTCCATGTTAGGATACCAGAAGGCTTATTGGGGGAAAAACAGCAGTGTGCCTTACTGAGAATTTATGATGAACAGGGCAAACTGAAGATGTAGTGACATCCCATTAGAAGAGGAAGAAAAATCTTCTTCACTTCAATATTAAACAAAAATGGTCCAAGTTGTCAGAGGTCATGATGCAGATTTGGCTGCTTTGATGCCTGCTGCGACATGCAGAAGATGTCAAATAGACTACTTCCTATCCAAAATAAAAACATTAAGAATTAGAATTTTTTTAAAAAAATATACGTTTGTTGTCATCTGAAAAACTGGAGTAATCAGAAGGGAAAAAGGTTTGTGTGACGTCTGTAAATCGAGGAGAGGAACAAAACCTCACATATACTGAATGATCCATGATAAAAAAGGCATTATGTGGGACCATGAGGTTAGCATGGTTTCAGTTTTCTTTATTCTTATTCATAGAAACAAACTGAAGTGCGCATAGGAGAAGAATCACCTGAAACAGAGAGCTGCTTCCCACTATGGTCTGTGAGCCCTGGGTGACAAATCATCCACTAACTCTGGCTAATGTCTCAACTCTCCAGGTGAGCTGGACTAAAGAATATGTACTGTACATTCAGGTACATTTTGGAATTTAACGGGGAACAGCGCCTGTTCCCTGTTCCCCTTAATGACCAGAAACATGGCAATAAGCAGTGAAATGTATGTTGATTTTATGGGTAAAATATGCTGATTGTCATCCTCCATTTTTCTCCCTTACAGCAGTTTTGTGGAGACAAGACCCTGAATAACTCAAATAAAACCAGAACCAATCAGCCAACTGAAGTTTTTAAAACAAAATAAAGTTTGGTGTCTGATCTCCTCTGTGAGGCTGACTGAGAAATCCACTCCAAAGCCATGACAGGTCGCCGGTGCGGATCCGACTTTAACATGGAGAGGCAGACGGAGGATTCAGGGGTGGATCCGGACTAAATGACGGAGCCTCATCTCAGTGGCGTGGAGGAAAGTTCTCCTAGGTGCTCCATCTCTTTATCCTCAGCCCTCTAACTGAGGCCGCTGACAGGCCACAGCACTGAACCCACAATCCTCCATCCTCTTACCGATCCCCAGACGTCTGTCTCTCCATACCTGATGGCTAATTCCAGGGAACAGCAGCCTCCGTCTGCTCCCTCCCTGGGATGTGCCGATGGATAATAAATCTTATTATTGACAGCGCCTGTTCCCCTGCCATCCCATGTTCCAGTCCCCTGGGGCTCATCCTCTGACTCCCACAGCTCCAGCACTCCCCCAGAAGACAGAGGTGCCATGCTAACATCAGATTTAACAAGGGAGTTACCACAATTTAATAACCCTATGGGAGCCAGCCTGGTGATGATAACATGATCCCTGCATGCCTGACACTCAGGGAGACTTTCTGACAGACTACCCCGGAGATGCCAACAGGGTTTGATGCCTCATCCTGCCAACACTTTTAAAAACACTGCATCCCGTACTCATGTGCATGTGCTGCATGCAAAGGCTAAAGGAAACGCTCCACTCCGTCTCTGAGCCCTGGTTTTTACGCGATGGCAGACTCTGTCGGTCCACCGCTGTCTGCCAACCACATCTGAGCATTTCACTCTTCTTTCAAAACTGGTTGTTGGACATGTTCTTTCATAATTTGAACGGCCTCCCGTACTGAGAGACAAGCTGCTAGGCGTGGGGGCCGGCCCCTCAATGACTTCATGGATTTCAGACTATCTGACTGCCACACCACAGAATGTCAGGAAGGGGAGACTTGTCTCTGGGACTCAACAGGCTCCTTTTCTCTGCTCCACACATGGGGGGTTCCACCACATACGTGATGGACAGGAGGAAGTTAACAGTGACCTCTTACAGAGCTCAGATACTACCACTTCAATGCCTCTGTGACAGAGGAATCCAGAAGATCTGAGTTGGTCTGTTTCACGTCGGCCTTGACGTGCCTCAAACTGAGGATTGTAAGGCCTGATTTCCAAGAGATACTTTAATCAAAAGCTATAATTCAGGTTTTTGGGCACAAACTATGAGTAATGTCCCAAATGCTATTAATTCAACTAAAGAGGAGCTAACGTCTCACGACAGGTTTTTCGGACTGAAATAGCAAATTTAAAAAAAGCAGCAAAATGGTCAAAAATAGTTGTTCAATCCAACTCCAGCAGTTATTAACACTCATATGTGCAATAAAACTTTAGAGGGTTAACATTTCCAACTGAAAAGTAGCCAGCCTGTTCTCGCTTTTTACTGGTTATCCATTCAGATTTAAAATGATGTGGAGCCTTGAGGAGGAGTGAGGACCACAAGCGCCATCAGAAAAGCAGCAAAAGTGTAACTGTGATGACACTGATCAGCTGAAAGATGCCACAAAATGCAGAGGATTGTATTTATAACGGTGTTTCTGTCTGATAAATCCGCTTTTTAGAGGCTCTATTAACCTGTATGTGAAAGAAAAGGGTTGGCAGGGACTGACAAGCTGAGGGGGCCACATGCTGAAATAGGAGGCCCCCGATGGTTGCCATGAGCAGATGCTGCCAACTAGGGCGTGGGTGATGTCACCACACAGAGGCGGGCTCCGGGGGAGGCTGGCAGTGACGGCCGGGGTGAAAAGGCGGGGGCGCTGCTGGCCTGTGGCATCGTCCATCAACGCGGTGGAGCCATCAGCTGTAACACACACCAGCTGACCCTGAAATCCCAACCTCCCCCCTCGGGCCAATGTGAGGTGGAGGGTTGCTGTTCAAACTGTGAGACGGTGTGAGGACATAAAAACATGGCCACCTGTTTGTAATATGTGTTTGCTGTTTGTGACTGTCCAAAAACGAGGCTAGTTCGGGGTTTGTTTGACACGGCACGGCTGATTATTGTGGGGTGTTCTCTGCTCAGGGCTGGAGCTTTGGAACAAACCTAAAAGAAGACAACAGGATGTCAGGGAGACTGGGTTAAAAGCTGCTTATCTTTTCAGATAGCTGCTGTTTTTATCTCTTCCTCCAACGCCATCCTCTTTTATATCCAACAAGTAAAATAAATTCTGAGTTGCACAGTTTGTGTTTCGGCATGAATTAAAAAATTCTCAAAAAAACAAACAAAGACAAACTAAACTGTCACCTTCCTTCTCATCTGTTCATTTAGTGACAAGGAGTCATGTTGTTGATTTTTCTAAATCAGGACGTATCAGACAGCCTCTCACTAAAAATGATGAAGATGAGTTGGTAGAAGGCTGAAAGGTACACGGAGGCCTTTGATCCATGAAGGTTAAAGGAAAAGCCAAGCGTGCAAAGACTGTGACATCTGTCGCTAACAATTGGGAGTGGAGGTGTCAGACCCTATCTACATGCTGCAGATTGTTTTTGTGTAATCTGTAGCATGTGACCTGAGGTCAGTGCGGCCACTGACATCAGGACTAAACGTTAAGTACTCCAACAACAGCAGCTACCGGATCATTTAAAACGACTCTCAAACCGAGTACAAACCTGGAGATTCGATAGTGTGAGCATGAATATACATCAACACAGTTTCAAAGCCTCAATCTCCATCATTACTTTATATGACTGAGTAACAGCATTTCAACGATGACTAAATTTAAGACTAAATGTCATTAAATCACCCTTACTGCACATCAGAAGTAATCAGCTTTAAGCTGCTACATTTAAACTCTTATTTAAAATGAATTTAAAAAATCAGCATCTCTATACTGAGCAAGGAGAACACATCCTTGATGAATAATTCAGCCTTTACGGGGGCTTTTTGCAGAGCGGACGCGCTCAGGAAGGTGAATCAGACGTGATGGGAGCACCCTTCCTCCTGAACTCAACCGTGACCCCGAGCTTGATCGGGACTCCATCAGGTTGTGATCCCCGTCAAACACCTCCTGAGGAGTTGGTGTGGCAGGAGGGTGGCTCCAGCTGTCCATCAGCAGCTCCCCTCAGACGCGGTGAGGGGGAGGAGCTACAGCTCTGCCCACTTAAGGCGGTACGGGGGCATCTATTTGTGAGCACTGAGTGCAGGTGTGAAGGAGAGGGGGGGGCATCCCTCAAGAGCGACATTAGATTCCACAAGGGATGTGAACTTCTGCCCTGAATGATACATGTCAAGACCCCCCCAAGGCACACATGAAGTGCTGGGGGGGCAGAAAAGCAGAGGACTGACGGAATCAGAGAGGAGGAAGACATGTGGGCTAAAAAAAATAGTTTTAGGTCATCTTCAGGTTGTAACTAAAGACATACTCAAAGTGACCTCAACCTTTCCGATGTCCAAAGTATTTTTACAGTCCCTCCGTCAAAGTTAGCTAAATCTGAACCCCCAAACCCCCTTATTGTCAGCTAAAACTTGTAATCATTTGTTTAAAACCTGCTCTGTAAACACTAAGATGACCTGCTCACTTCAGAATTACAACCCGATTACTGCAATCCCTATCCGTTCAATTAGCTCTTTCGTTTACATTACATTATGTCAATTCTATTAATTTATGTTTAATCGTCTATTTGTCTTACTATTTGTCTGTTAATATGTGCGTGCTGGGTGATGACAGATGGCAGATATAGACGATCAAGGAAATATTCCAAAGTCTATCCCGCAGAGCCCACTGGGAGCTTGTTTTTCTCATGCCTTTGCAACATATGATGCATTCGGTTGTCTCCCGATTTCTGAATGATGCGTGAAGTGA